GACAGACAAAGCAATTCACATCGGCAACTTATCGGCAGTCCCTTCTGATGCCTGATACACAGCAAGCCTCTCTTTCCACAAAGTTCAGCAAAGTCAGGGGTTCCTGAATGACGCTGTCCGAAGGGGTACCGTGAAGGACCCTGGTATTCAGTCCTTGGGCTCCTCGAGGTCCACGGGCCCACTGATGCAGGCAACAGCTAACTAATCCTTTTCACAGAGCTCTATCTTCCTTCTGAATGGTTTCCAGATACTCCAGCCAATTTAAAACTTCTGAATGGTTTTGATAACGTACAACCACTCAGATTTATTTTAGTTCAACTGTCCTTAGACTGACCAGTTAGCAGTAGAAGCCATTTATTCCTTTCATAAGGTAATTTTAAATACACCACAGAGCCTTACTACTTCAAGGCTTTGCTAAATATACTACGCCTTACTTTATACAAGGCCTCAATGCATCTTAGATTTAATTAGGTTTTTAGCAAAAACATCTAGCTTAATATCTAAGCAAATACAGAAAAACACTTTGTCTAATCTTCATAGGGCCTTCAGCAAGCACCTTTATCACACAGACATCATTTCAGCTGTCACAGCATGTAGTCATATTTCTCAATTCATTAAACAACCAAAGGAAGCCATGAGACCCCGCGGTGTGGGCTGCCCATCGAGCAGGGACCACTATATATTTAATGTCATGAATTGAGGCTAGAGGTCCCAAGCATGTTGGATTCTCTCCAAATAAAGAAAGGAGTCAGTGCCTGCCTGGAGAGCTTCCTGTCCAAGAAGGACCACCCAAAGAAAGGAAGAAGGATGTTTTGCTATCAGCAATTTAAAGCCTTGGTCTGATGAGACTAGGCCTCTTTTCCAAGTCACTCATGGGGGTGTGGCAGAGGCAGGAATTGAATCCTGAAGTAGTGACTTCGGTTTCCTGAGTCATGGGTGATTGTCTAAACCAGAAAAACAACCTGCTGCTCCATCTGCTAGCTGTTCCCATCATCATCATCATCATCATCATCATCCTTGGTACTGTTGTTACAAGGATGATGAGTCTATTCCTGAACCAGGACCTCAGGCTGTAGATCACTGTTTGAATATGGAACAAAAAGAAGGTTTCCTGCTCCAGAGACATGGCAAAGTTAGGGTTCGGGGCTGGTGCCCATCAGTGTGGTCCCCAGGCATTTCAGACAGGGGCAAGTTCTGTCCCCTACTTTATGTTTAGACCTCTTGATAGAAACCTCCCATATGCCAGCTGGTGACACTGACAATAGATCATTCCCAGTAATCAATAATCATAGCAATGAGGTAATAGAGATGATGCTGTGGACCGTAATAGAGTCATTCCAGATTTACACCAGAGCAATGAGAACAAATCCAACCCAATAACATTGGGGACTCATGTAAATAGCCATGTCAAAAATCTCTTAGAGTAGCAAGAGCTGGTCATGGTGTTAGAGCTGTGTCTGGGACAGACAGTTAAGACACTGGCTTTACAGATCTGTTTTAACCCAGGATTTTGGCTCAGTCTATTTTAGCATACATCGGCCAAAAAAAGTTACTGTACATCTAAGGTTCCCCAAGCTGGGGAGATATCTGGATCCAAGAAGTTGCTTTAAGTTTATTTCTCATATCTAGAACAGCAACCAGTAACAACTACACAGTTATTTAAAAAGCAAAACAGATTGCTGCACTTCTGGCTGGACTCCAGGGAAATTGGTTTCCATGCCTGCCTCACTCAGATGTTCTTTGTCCATGCCTTCTCATTGGTGGAGTCGGGCGTTCTCATGGCCTTGGCGCTGGACCGCTACATTGCTATCTGCTACCCACTCTGGCACTCCAGCACCCTCTCCATCCCAGTGACAATGGCAATAGGAAGCCTAGTGCTGACACGTGGGGTCCTCTTGGTGAGCCCCTTCTGCATCCTCGCCAGCCGGCTTCCCTTCTGCGGGCACCGCCTCATCTCCCACTCCTACTGCAAGCACATGGGCGTGGTAAAGCTTATGTGTGGGAATGTCAGAGCCAACATCATATATGGCCTATTTGTGGCTTTCATGGTGGTGGGCTTTGATGTGCTTGTGATCCTTGTGTCCTATTCCATGATCTTGTGGACAGTCATGAGGCTCCCATCCACTGAGGCCCGTCTCAAAGCTGTCAGCACCTGTGCTTCCCACACTTGTGTCATCCTGGTGTTCTATGTCCCAGCCCTCTTCACCTTCCTCACCCACCGCTTTGGCCACCACATACCACACCACCTTGACATCATGGTGGCTAATCTCTATCTCCTGGTACCCCCCATGCTGAACCCCATTGTGTATGGGATAAGAACCAGGCAGATCCAGGGCAGGGTGATCCGTCTGTTCCAGCTGAGAGGGATTTGAGCCAGGCTGGAGGATCTTGAAGATGGTGTGCTGACGTCTGTACTCACCGCGGTGTCTGCGTGCCGCTGTTGTGTTCTGTTTCAGGAGAAGCACCTTGTCTGTGTATGGAATTCCCCAGGGCCGTTGTATAACGGAGCTCTTTAAAACTGTTCTTCCCTCTTTAAAAGTGACCATTTGATGGGTCAGACCATATGTCCACATGGCCCAGTGAATTTCCCATCTAGCCCAGTGGCAGATTATGGGTGCTGAAGAGAGGCCAAACAAGGCATAGCCAGAGCTTTCCACTCCACGCCTCGCTCCCGTTGCAGAGGTTTAGGGCAATTGTATTCAGAGGCTGCACCCTATGGGATTTGGTACCTGGAACTGTTCTAATCAGTGAGTGGCGATGCATACGGGATGCACGGGGTGCACGTGCACCCCCTGAGAGCATCGGTGCACCCCCTAACTGGATGCATAGATTTCCCTGAGCAGTGAGATTCTCCACGGGGGGATCCTCCTGCCCCAGGGCAGCGAGATTGGCTGCAGGGGGACCTGCCCGCCCAGTCAGCAGGACTGGTAGCAGTGGGGTCACATGCCCCCGCTGACTAAGGTGGCCCCAGTCGCCCATGTAATCAGATGTTCAACTGGGCCATCCAATCAGCCTCCACAACTTCCTGTGGCTGTGATATGTAGCCTGCTAAAACAGAAACAGCTGGATGAATTGAAAAGGGAGCCAGGTTTATTCCTGGCTACAACTGGCCCAACCACTCAGCTTGGCCGGAGAAAAAGACCTTCAAAAGAAACAAAGGGGGAAAGCCAGGCCTACCTTCTAGGTCTGAACTGCAGGCAGTCTGGGTCACACAGCTCCCCTGGGAGAAGAAGGGTACAATCCTCAATCCCAGCCCTAAACTTGCAGGATTAAGCTGCAAATTCCTTCTCCCTCAGAGAAGACTTCACTCTTCAGCAGCCCCGCAGTGTCTCCCCCTCCCCAAACCAGTCTCTCTCTCCTTATATCCCTCCATATGACACCATCTTGGCTTTGTCCAGTCAGGGAGTCCCATGCTCCAGTCTCTCTCTTAACTAATCTGTCTGAAAAGCCAATCATGCCAGATGATTTTACATATCTTTGCAGATCCAAGGCCCTAGCCTTCCATGTGCAGAGCATCACAGTACACGTGGCCAGTACAACAGGTGCCATTTTGTCCACATGACCAGAATACATGGCACACATATGTTGTGCCATGGTGATGTAGTGATCACATAGGTCTTCACGTGATCACTAACTACATCACTGCAGTGGCGTGCTCCCTGCTTCTATTGCACCACTACTGCAATGTAGCAGGGATGTCTTCCCGTGAGCTGCCAGTATGGCACAGTATGGGTGATTACCAAGATGTGTTTTAGTATTCCAAAAGAAAGTACTAAAAGA